GTTTGCAATTTTATCATTCTTGGATTCACCACTTAAAATGCATAGAAATAACATACCTTGTATAGCACCTAGAGTGATAATACAGCATTGCCTTTTCTCAACATCCACTGGTCAAATGAATGATAATAGGATTGAGGCCCACCTGAAAAAAAAGAAAAATAGTAATAATTTGAAATAAGAAATTGATTACATGAACAAATATTTCCATAGCCTGGCATATAACATATGTGCGCCATTCCCAGACATTTCGAGAAGGGGGCATCATCAAAGATTTTTTGGGCTCAAAAAAATTTTGGGCCCGAAGAAGGCCTTAAGGCCCAAAAAAGTGGGCCTTGGGGCCTTATTTTTGAATTCAAGACTAAATTCTGAAGAAAATGGCCCTCAAAATTTGGGCTTTAAGGTTTCAGGGGCCCAAAATTTTTTCCCGCACGAGCACAGATGTTTTTTTCTCTGACTGGAAATTTGGCCCGCCCCCTTGATGTTTCCCAGATCCGCCCCTGATGTATGTGGATACAGAAGATAAGCCAGCCGAGCAACAACAAAAAATGGCCCTTTTGAGGACCAACTCATACTACCAAAAGAGCATTGTATTTATGAATTAGGCTAGGCCAATATATCTACATAGGCTTATGATTAAAATCAAATAAGCCTACATATGTGTTGGCTTAAGTGTGAATGTTTGACTGATGAGAGACAATTTAAAAAGTATGATAATTACCTTTGATGGTGATGAGTGATCGATAGCTGCATCTCGTATCACATAACTATATGGTAGTATATCTGAAGACCACACCTAAAAAACACATGAAACTTTCAATTTTGCACATGCTATTTATTGCAAGACTTATGCCTGGCACAACCGTCACCATGTTATTAAGTGTTTTTAAGTTTCGCAAGGATCCTGCCATGACTGTGGTATTGTTATCATGAAAGCGCTGGTATAAACGTGACAATGCTATATTATATTGCAATGCATATCATGACCGTGGTAATGTAAAAGCCTTATTTTTACAGTGACAATGTTCACATTCTTGAATGAAATTAGAATTTCATTTTGTTGAAATGAATTATGAGTTAAAGTAGTAGTACATGTAGTAGTTGTCTAGATTTACATATTTAAGGTAGATAAACGATGAAAATTTGCATTACAGTATTCTCATGCTACTAAATGTAATTTAATATAACCATTGTTACGGTCATACTGTGCTTTAACGTCATTACCACGGTCATGACAGGTTTTACAACCATTGCCTCAGTCATACAAGGCTTTTACATTACCATGGTAATGACAGGCCTTGCAATATAATATATCAATGTCACGGTCATATCAGGCTTTAACGTTACCACGGTCACGACAGGCTTTGCAATATAATATAGCATTGTCGGTATACCTACCCCCATAAATGTGGGGTTATATTGAGTTTTTTTTAAATTTAAGACATTTGTTTCTCAAAATAATTATTTTGACAAACAAATGTCCTAAATATAAAAAAACATCAAAATAACCCCACATTTATGGGGGTGGTACTACGGTCCTGGTAGGATCCTTGCGAAACTTTATAAAAACACTATAACATGGTGACGGTTGTGCCAAGCATAAGTCTTGCAACAGATAAGGTCTCAAATTTTGACGGTTGTGCCAGGCATAAGTCTTGCAACAGATAGGGTCTCCAATTTTGTTGAAAATCGGATCAAGAACTTTGGCTTTTAGTACAAACTCCTTCAATTTATTCGATAAATTGGTAAACCTTATCCCGTTCCAGGACTATAGTCCTGTACGGAGCCAATACATTTGCCTGTACGATTACAACTTGGGAGAATTATCTACACCCCTTCCACTTAAGAAACCTACCTCAATGCATTCTACAACTCAAAATGTAACTTCTAATATATTGGAACCGCCGATTGTCTGGGTTAGTTGGCAGAACGAGGTCTTTTTGTTTCTTATGGCTCTTTTGGTCGAAGTTCGATTAAGATGGCGGTTATAACGGAATTTCCCGAACTCTTCCGTAATAGCACGAACTTGGTTTTTCGTTACGTCACTTCCGTGTAAAATGGATTTGTTTCGGGTAAGAGGGAATTTCGAAAATTTCGGACAATATTTTCAATATTTACTGCCATGTCGACATCCTATGCTCTTAACTGTATACCGAATGGTTAAACAATGTTTCTTACCGGAAACAAATCCATTTTACATGGAAGTGAAGTAACGAAAAACCAAGTTCGTGCTATTACGGAAGAGTTCGGGAAATTCCGTTATAACCGCCATCTTAATCGAACTTCGACCAAAAGAGCCATAAGAAACAAAAAGACCTCGTTCTGCCAACTAACCCAGACAATCGGCGGTTCCTATATATTAGAAGTTACATTTTGAGTTCTAGAATGCATTGAGGTAGGTTTCTTAAGTGGAAGGGGCGTAGATAATTCTCCCAAGTTGTAATCGTACAGGCAAATGTATTGGCTCCGTACAGGACTATAGTCCGGGAACAGGATAAGGTAAACCGGAAGTCATATTATCGGTTTTATTTCGTATATATCTCGAAAGATACCTGATGCCCCGTCAAAACTACTTGAAATTAACGAAAAACGATATGTTTTGAAACGAATTTCAACCATTTTGAACACCAAAGTTTAATGGCCCGCTGAAGATATGGTTTGCAGCGTACTCTGGTCTCATCGACTCAAAATTTATGTTCGTTGTTCGGACCCTCCAAAAACATACTTCTTTTCAAAGCATCGCAACGTTCTATACACCAAATTGAAGAAGAATTTCTTACCTTTTAGAAAATTCAGGTCGCCATATTCATTCTACATGGAGGGGATCCCCTTTTGACTAGAAAGAGGTCGGGGTCGAGATCTCGAAAAGTATCGCGAAGGCGCGAGATGTGCCAAATTTTAAAGAGATTTGGAAAAGAAATCTCTCTAAATAGGGCTTGGCGCAGATGACGGCCGATTGCCTGCATAGGCAGACATATTCCAGTGTCCTCATAGTATGTGTCCTATATCATTTTAAAGCTTATCCAAAGTTACATTGATTCGCCAAGTATCATGGTTTAACTCCCAAATGGGAAAAAGTTACAGTCATTTTAAAAGTTAAGTTTTGTCAAAATAAAGTTCAATTTTACACCACATTACTAGTCAATGAGTCCCCCCTTGGCCATGTTAAGAGCAGCAATTATTTTCAGATATGACCTTAAAAGCCCTTCAAATAGGGATGTGGAATTTTATAACCCTCTTAAAACCTGTTTAGGCACTTTAGAAGGGTTTCCTTAGAGTTTCCTCCCTCACCGTTCTCTTTGTCCAACTCAATATCCATCCGACCCGAAAAGAATTGCTGCTGTTAAGAGGGCCCAGGAGGACACATTGATTTGATTATTGATTTCGTGTAAAATTGCACTTAATTTTGACCAAACACTAAATTTTGAAATACCTGTAATTTTTTTCACATTTGAGAGTTGAACCATGATACTTGGCGAATCAATGTAACTTTGGATAAGCTTTAAAATGATATATGACACATACTATTACGACACTGGTATATGTCAGAACAACGGCAACGCCAAAGCGTAGCGAATCCCATCGAACAGAAATGGCTGGCATTTTTACAAACAAAATATATACTCCTCAAAAAAAGTTAAGGACCAGTGGTTTTCCTCATAGGTTTACATGTTAACCCCCATATTTGTTTGAACGACTATTTTCTAAGCAGGGAACAAAAGAAATCCCAATAAAGAAAAAAATCTGTATCTTGATTCTATTCCCTATAAAGTCCGCAACATTTCAATGTTATATCTCCATTACACTGGGTCAAAATTTGATGTCAAAATTGATGAATTTCATGAAATTTAACAAAAATGAAAGATCCCATGTTAAACAAATTGGGGATGGTTGGGTTGCCATAAGTCATATGAGGAACGATCCATCCATCCGATTGCTTTCAAAATTAGAATTATAATAATAATAATATATTTTGTTTGTAAAAATGCCAGCCATTTCTGTTCGATGGGATTCGCTAAGCTTTGGCGTTGCCGTTGTTCTGTTTTTTTTGTAAACCATTAGGGCGTCTATTCAAAGAATTTAGATGTTAACATTGCCATCTCTGGTCCAATTTTTTTTGTAGGCTTACACAGCCCTCCCCCTCCCAGAACGCACCCCTATTAGAGGAAATATTTTTTATTTCATCAATATCATTTGTATGTTTATTTTTGTACATTACAGGCATAGAAACAACATTAATTTATCATTTTAAGCAGATAGCTCTTTTTCTCTTTTTTCTCAGTCATTAGCGAAGCAAATACTTCAATTCTTCCAGGACCACTAGGTCCACTCCCAAGCTGTTTAAATGAATTTTATCATCACCTGTCATTGCCTATTAAAAGAGCTATATCAAAATTGGATGGAAACAACTCAACAATTTTGCCCCCTGAGCTACCCACTTTTTGCTAATAGTCAAGTTTCAAAAGAGCTATCTGCATGAATCGTTCTTCAAATGATTAATTAATGTTATTTCTATGTTTGTCATATACAGAAATAAAATTTAAATTGTACTGAAGAAATAAAAAATATTTCCTCTAAAAGGGGTGCGTCCTGGAAGAGGGAGGGTATGTAACCATGTTAACATCAAAATTCTTTGAAAATACACCCTAACGGTTTATTAAGTCAAAATAAAAAAAATTCGGGTGCATATGGGACCCTTTGACCCTCAGAGAATTAAAACAAAATATTTATCTCAAATAGTTGTAAAAAACCTTATCAATGAGACCACCTTTGTTGACATTAAGTAATCCGTGAAAATATGGTCAAAAACCACGCACTCATCGCAACAGTTTGAGTATAACTATCGGGACAGATTTCCCATTTAGACGGATATTTTAGTCCTACACATCAGGAGCTCAGTGTCATCCGTTATATTCCAAATATGCCCGACATGTCCATATTGCATTCGGCTAAATGCGTTTCTGTACTCAACTAAACGTGTCATGCATTTTGTATGCTGTTGCAGAAGACACATCACCAATCTGGCTACAGAAAGTCGCTCACAGTATTGTGCCGCAGACCTTTAACGTTGGGAGAAAACTAGGAATAAGTGATGAGGACATGGACATCTTAAAGCTCGACCTAAAGGGACATTCTGAGGAAATATCATACCAAATTTTAAGAAAGTGGTATTCAGGTTTCAAGGGCTTCAATCCCAAAGTCATACTTCATGATGTCCTTGTCGAATGCAGTTTAAGTGAAGTAGCAGAGCGACACTTAGGCCAGAAAACTATAGGTAACAGTGGGCTCAATTTGCAAAATAGAAAATGATTTTTACATTTTTATATCTTTTTACCAAGTACTTTATTTTTATTATCCATCTTCGATTGAAACAATTGGCTACTTCTGGAAACAGAATAAAACAAACAATTTGCCAAACCTTCACCAATCTATCAATTTATATTCGACAAATAATTTCACCTCTTCTTTGTGTTGGCATTTACATTTGATATTTAAACATGTATTTATGCTCTGCAGCGAATCAATTTGTTTTCCTTAACGCATGTATTACGGTCAGGCTCGGTAACTGCGTCAACATGTACACAGAATGGTGTCACAGTTGAAACAAACCTCCGGTTTATTATTTTCAATTTACCTATCTGCAAACACGTAAATGTTAATTTTTATTTTCTGTAACATATTGGTGAAGCAATTAAGAACGATATGGCCTTAATTTCTGTATTTCAAGTTCTAAAATTCTTGGTTGAAGCAAATATTTTTGAAGTTGTTATTCCGAATGTAACATCCAACAAAACGCGTAGTGTTGATGGGTGTCCGGAAAGTAAAGATACAAATACTCTTATTTTAAGAAATTTGGGTTTTTTGAAATGAAATTGCTACAGATTGTAGATAAACAATATTACAATATATCTACCAACTTTCGTCACATATAGTCTAAATGTGTTTAAGTTACGGTTGTTATGGTTACGGATGTGAGGGGTATGCGGAGCAGTTCCAGAACAACGCTCAAAAGTGAAAATTGCTAAAAGACAACCATTTGAAACAGTGTTATTTGTTGTATTTTCTATCTATGTTTTGTTTTGTTAATCATTGTATTATTGCTGCCATAGTGTTTTCTTTTATATAATGATGCCATTGCTACATATCAGAACTATGTTATGTCACTAACCAGTATAATGAAAGAAATATTATACAAGTGCCTAGAAGAATGGTCCCTGGGCATTAGTAGGAAAGTCAATATTGCATCTGCACAATGCACCAATTCACAAAGCAAAAACAAATCTTACAATGGAGTGTCTTGACATTAAACCTTTCTATATAATGCCCCATATTCACCTGATAAAGCCTCTTTAGACTTCTACTTTAATGACCATTTGAAAGCAATATTTGTAAAAGGTTGAACATACAACTGAGACTCAGCTGGAAGCCAATGTTGTCAGCAATCTGAGAGATGGACAGCAGCGGTTTTGCCAGGCCTTTGAATCGCCGGTCAAGATGCACCAATAATGTATAGATAATGGGGAAAATACTGAATATTCAATGATAGTAGTAATATAAAATGATCAAATGATGTTACATTACTAATCCTTATGCTGTTGTGGTACAAAATTTGATATAATATAGGACTAGATGGTGGAGTGCCAAGATCATATGAGCAGGAAAGAGATTTGCAGAACACAGTTGTGACGTTGCTCCACTTACCCTCGACTCTCGTTACCATAACAACCATAACTTTTTCATTTTGAAACTAAAAGTCATGGCAGTTGTAGGATATATTCTTATAATGTCATTCCACATTCTGTAGCAATTTCATCTCATAGAAGGTAAATCTCTTGAAATTAGAGCATTTGTATCTTTACTTTCCGGACACCCTGTATGTGAAGTTTTCCATATGAAATACCTATTGCTGGATCTTAGAACCTTTCCTTGCTCGAAGTGCACGAAAGGTGTATTGTTAATACTTGACGTCGTTCGAATATGTGGATGTGATTGACGTTTTCCGTCATCTCCAACCACTGTAACTTCCGACACAATTTTTGAAGTGACCACGAAGTGATATTTAGGTCACATTTTTATGTTAACAATATATGTGTAACTGTCGAATACAAACCATCTCACATTTACATAAATATCCACAGTTTACCTCAAATCATCAATGGTCGAAACGGTTCATTATCTAGCCCATCCTCCTAAGCAGTGTCCAGAATCCATACCTCCTTCTTTTGTAAAAAGAAAGAAGGTATCTGGATTGGTTTTGGAGCCTTGCGAACGGAGGATGTACAAGTATCTAGCCTGGCGAGCCTGATGTTTCATTTTAATTAATAATTATGGTATGGGTATACATCTCTGGAATTATTAAATATATATCATCTCATTAAAAGGAATATGCATTTTGGAGATCCGTCATAATAAAAGTCTAAATGTTGTGAAAAACACGAGTTCACACACTGACATGAGGAAATGTGATCGCCTACATCATTGTTAACTCATGTTTAAAAGTCGTGAAAACAAGTTTGAACATAAAAATTGACCCATTTACTATCTTTTTGTCATGGAATCACGGTAGACATTTTAGTTAATTACTTAAATTGTTAACAGTTATGATGTTTTCCAAGAAATGTAAAATGATTTTTTACTTCAAACAATATTGCATTTGTTATTCAATAACAAAAATGGCAGCTGTAGATAGTAATGTTAATAAAATTATTTAGAACGGGAATACTTACTTATGTAACATTCGTTGGCATGTGTCAGTGAGTAAATAAGAAGAATATGACTTTGATTGTTCATCTTGTTCTCAAAGTAATCGGTAAAGGACCAGTGTATTTTATCGTACTTCTATTCCTCGCACTTGACAATTTTGAATATTTATTTCGTGAATGTTTTGTTGAGAAGGGATTCGAGATGTACTCAAAATAAATGGGTTAATATGTGTACTATTATCATCTTAATAACCACCTCACAAATTATTTTGGAAATTAAAGATGTACGATTTTTGAGATTTTCCTTTCGAATGTTGACGCAGTTACTGAGTCTGACTGATTATTCAATTAGTATATATACATTCGGTATTTAAATTATTTATATATTGAATACCGAATGCCACATTCGATAAATTTCGTTATTTTTCGATACTTTACGAGAAATTCAGCCACGTGATACATTTAAATAATGTTATTTTTCTATGGTTACAATTGTTATTATTTTGGAGAATTTTACTCTTGGCATTTTTCACCAATTTTTGCACTTTTAATCCATTTTAACTTCATCAATTTATAACATATTGTGAATCTTGTGGGATATATAGATGGTAGGTCAATTGGATATGTTGCTTGGAATTTTGTAACCCCTATAAATCTGATTCTGCCTTTAATTCGCTGTAGCAAATATATAAAAGTTTTTTTACTGGACAGAAAATTGATTTAGTGAATATAAATATTCCATATATCGAATATTTTTGAATTTAACGAACAAAGAAGCAAAAAATGCCATAGACAACACTTAATCTACTCAATCAACTTAATTAACTTAATCATACTTATATGATGACGTCATGGTGATCTTTCTCCTATGTAAGACTTTAGTTGTAAAAACTCTGGATTGCTAGCTTTTTCTTTATTATTCGAGAATGTTGTTTTACGAGCCACTATTCAATTTTAGGTCTCAGAAGTAACATTACAGAGAACATAAGCAATTTTATGCCGACAGACGACTTCCGGAAGTGTAAACAACATCTAGAGAATTCAAACTTACTCGTCCTGTCTGGTAAGAAATTTGATTTTGGTCCTTGTGCAACCCCCATCACGCCAAGCTTATCCTAAATTCTCAAACAGCCCTGCCCCGTCCTAAATCACGGTGAGCACAACTACCCAACGTACACCGTTCCAGACTTGCTTTTCACAACCATTTGTATTCGAATTATGGAAAAGTGTAGAGGTACGTGTAGGTTTGTAAATTTGGTAATGAAATTGCTTTCACTTGACTTTATGTAAATCCATACTATATCCTAACACGGTCCCGTTTACAACGTTCCGTATTAGTGGTTTTGTTGACATTAATACGGAATAAATCATACCATTTCATGAAAAATGGTGACATTGTCCTACGGAAATTGAGATTATGTTTCACAGCAAGTTCGCACAGCGATACTGTATAGCACGTCATGCTCTAGGGACTTGATTCTACTTTCTATACATAGATATCTATGATAGACACCAAATACATCTCTGTCGATAGAATAATGAAAAAGCCTTAGGGTTCCAACCTCCTTTGTTTACATTTACAAAAACGTGAAAAAATGACAAAAGTTGTCATAACTTTTTAAATTTAAAACTCTTGAAACCGATTTCACTTGCCAGCAATAGATACTTTAGTCATCCACTTGATCCACTTTTCAAGGTCAATGAACAAGGCCTTCTATATGTGTCAGTGAATTCCAAGCACCCTTGTCTGTCAAGTAAGAAAGGTCGTCCATAGATCCTTCACCGGGATCCTACTTTACATTAATCCCCATCAATTGTCCCTAGGCTTCTTTGATGATGAATACACTCTTCTCTTCTCTCCTTGTATCTAGACATTTTGTATCTGTATCATCAATAGATGGCTCTGTTGTAGAATTTTTAGGAATGATAATTGATTCAGTGAAAATGGAAATCAGAATTTCTGATGAAAGACTAGCTGATATTCTATCATTGTTGAAAGAATAGCGTTATGCATCAAAAAGGACAAAGCGTGATATGCTCTCATTGATAGGAAAGTTAACCTTTGTATGTCGTGTGGTTCAAGTAAAAATAAACACGTCATGGCACTAGTGAGAGCACTTTTCTTTGTTTGTGCCAGAAATCAGATAGATTGTCGAGCTGTCCATATAGAAGGCTCTAGGAATTCGATATCAGATGCCCTCAGTAGAAATAAAATATCTTAATTTTACAATCTAACAAAGAACATTTCATTGGAAAAGTTTGAACCAGTCAGTGTGTTTCCTATGTATTGACGATGATGTTATATGATGAGATGATGCTATATAATTATTACAATTATATTGCCATGGACTACTATATTTGAGCTTTGAGTTATTGGTTGGGCCGTTTTTGGGCGGTTTTATCGCAATTTATAATAGGCTAATGTTATGTGAATAAAAAATCAAAAATTCCGCTCATGTTTAAGCCCAACCAATAGTGTTTGTTAATGTGTATAGAATCTGTCCAAAAAGGATGACGACAATTAATGATTATTTATATGTGTAAATGGTTTTTAATGGGAGGAATGACTGTAATGCCATCTATGTTTTTAAATTCTAATCAATTTCTGTTTATGTATCTTTATTGCCTCCTAATATTGGAGAGTACATACTTTAAATATATTACAATGATAATAAATGACAAAAATAAAACATATTATACACTATATACAAATGCGTTTGAATATAATAGTGCGATCAGATCATCTCAGTCAGCTTATTTAGGTACTACCGCTGCCCCAACATTACACCTGATCTAGTTCTAATAGTGCCATATGACAAAAGTTATGTTCATTCTACCAGTATTTACAATCATTGGGTTTATTTTCAGAGTATCATCCTATCGTTACTAGTGTACATTGTATAAATCGTCTTTGATATCGTTACATAGCTATCTATCTTTAATAGTTTATCTTTCCCAAAAATGATTGCTAATTTGATCTCATTTGAGCAGTCTTCGGGAATACTATTTGCGTTTTCAGTCTCAGACTTACATGCATTGCATAAACTTCTACTGTGCTTGTCATATGACGTTCCCCAATTAGATGTGATTGCATTCAAATTTCCCTCTCCCGTGAGGAGTAGCATCATTGTTTTGCAGATCTTGACTAGTTGACTATTATGAGATGCGATTTCCCACCATAGGTTTGGCTTTTGAAATTCCACAACACTCTTGTATAAATGAATGTTTGTGTACATCATACATTTTAGTCTCCAACTCCAGATTGCTTTGTCGTACATTATTGATCGAATGTTCCTTTTCCATACTGTTTTGGATGGTATGATTCCCGTGTCTATGATATCGTATATTTGGTTTTGGATTCCAAGATTCTCGGCAATTTTCAAACAATTTCCTATCGGCGAAATGCTGGATAGTGCACGAGACCTGTGGCACATTATTCGTGTTAATGCGATTACTTTGTATATGCTATTAATGGGCAGTGATAAAAGTTGCCAGATAAGCATCATTTTGTCAACGACAATTTTAGACGTTAAGTCAGACCATCCTAGTTGTTGTATACAGGCTGGGTTCCTCGTACTTTGTGGTAAGCCTTGTAATTTTTTCGCAATATTCCGATGTGCAGTCTCCATTCTGTCATAGTCAGTGTCTTTCAAAGGGAGAAGGTTCAATCCATACGTCATGGTTGGTACACAAATTGACCAGTAGAGTTTGGATGCTGTCAGGGGATTTGTGGGATTGTTATTGCTTGTGGTTGTTCCGATATACGCTATCATCGCCCTTCTGCCTTTTGAGATTCGTGTATCGATAAATTCCTTGTTTGATGTACTTTGTGTTAGTGGGAGACCTACATGTTCGATATTTGTAGTTACCGGGATATTGTGGTGTCCAAGACTAAGAGACAGTCGTTTCTGTGTTGCGTTCCTATTTGTAAATGTTGTGATCTTGCATTTATTAGGATGAAAGGTGAATCTCCATTTGAGACTGTAATTGTAGACGTGATTTAAAAGTGCCTGCATTGTTTTGGGGTGATATGCCAATAGGTTCATGTCGTCAGCAAACGTAGGACATATGCAGACAATGTTGCCTATGGAGCACCCTTTGTTGGTGTCACATATTTCATTCAAAAGCTCGTTAGTGTATCTGGCGTAGAGATCCATGGACCAAACCCCTCCTTGGTGCACTCCCTGCTGGACTGGGAACGGCTTTGACACATTTGTATTGCAGTTGAGGAAGTGATGCATTGCTTCTGTCATGGGCGACTTGCTCATGATGTCTTTATCACCAACTGCATTTGCTGTTACCTGATCGGTTTGATACGTTTGACCAATGTTTAGTTTTACTGCACATGTGTATCCATCGTAACACTTGATAAGTAATCTCCAGAGCTTTCCATTGATTCCTTGTCTGTACAGTTTGTGGTAGAGTCCTTCGTGCCACACCCCATCAAAAGCTTTACGGATGTCCATAGACGCAATAATGACGTCACTTCCGTTTTCCAACCCGGAGGATATCGCTTCTCTAGTTATCAGGGAGGTGTGGAGGCTCGAACATTTTGGGACATTAACTCCTTGCATATTACACGGTCGGTCAATTCGCTTACATCTTTGGCTTCTGCTCATCATGATCCTTTCTAAGACCTTCATGTACATGGTCATTAAAGTTATGCCTCTATGGTCGTCTTTTGACAGGATATCTTTGTTTCCTCCCTTAAAGAGTGGAATGAGGATTCCTAACTTGAAGCTCTCAGGAACGTACTCTCTTACAATTAATGCATTATACAATTTTGTCAAAATGCTATTGAGACCGTCCCCGCCATACTTCAGGTGCTCGGGCGTGATCATGTCCCATCCAGGAACTTTGCCGATTTTTAACTTTGATATTACCTTTTTCATCTCATCGCATGTAATTGGGTCGTTAAAGGCACCATCATCATTTCTCCAGCTTTCTGTTTTCATGGTCATAACTTCCGATCTTATCTTCAATAAAAAGTCATTATCGAACTCAGGATTAATCTTGTCGGATACAAGGTGTTCAAAGTATTGTTTCCACTCATTTAGGACATCTGTTGGTTCAGTTAGAACCTCCCCTTCACCATTTCTGATTAAGGCTGAACTCTGCGGTGATCTTCTGCGCTTTTTGATAAGATACCAGAACTTGTTCAGTGAGAGATCTGCGGCATCGTCAATTTCCCTTTGGCACTTTAATTCGTAGTCGTTTTGTGCTTTGCGTATTTCCCTTCGAAACTCCCTTTTAGCATTCTTGTATTCTCTCCAGTATGGGTTGTCCTGTGATCTTGGTTTTCCATGGCGTTTCCATTCGTTCCAGGTTGTTCTCTTTGGTTTCATGACTCCCTTAAAGTGTGCGCCAAAGTTTAAAACTGCGCAGGCGCACCGCTCTCGCTAAACTATATAAAGAGATTACCAGGTACACGATTCAGAGGTAAGCCAGGAAGGCGAACGATCTTCGTCTCGTGATGATTTCCCATATAATCGTAACCAGGGAAGTTTCACAATTGAAATTGAAAATTACTATTAGATATACTTTGTAGATGTTATTTATGAAGCTGTTTAGTGTTTGCATCAATCAAATGGCTTATTTTGAACATATAAAAAGTATTTGTGTTTTGTTCCCCAGGGAATTGTATTGTATGTAGTACACACATAAATAGTGTACATTATACATTACTTGAATAGCCTGGTTTACATAATATTGAAGGGCATGCTGATTACATGCACACGAGTACATGAATGAAGGCCTAATATTGATATACGTAGCTTGCATACCTAAATAAAAAATAAACTCTTCTAATCCCCTAATGTAAACACGGCGGTATACGTAGCCCGATTTATCGGGGACTTTAAGTACATTTTGAATCATTGCCAGTTGAACAAAGTTTTTGAACCCATAGTCCCTCACACCCTTTTTATTAAATTACTAATATTGTATTATACTATCACACTATCACACCAAACTAGTTCTCACTACGTTCTCGAAAACGGGCTTCAACTGTGTACGAACGGACTGGACGTACTAAGAACCGTTTGGGATCTATTTACAATCTTCGTCGAACGTACTCGAACGGGTAGGTCCTCTAGAACTTAGACAATGCTCAAAATGTTTTCGTGGTCGTCACGTTCTACGAGTGACAACATACTAACGACGAGCTGGACGTACTACGAACGGAACCGTCGTACTTCAATCCTACTAGGGACGTTTTAACAACGAGTGGAACTGTCTGAGGACGCGTTGAGAACGAGGTAGAACTCATTGCAAACGAGTTTAAACTGATTAAGAACGTATTTAACACTGCTTATGAACGAGTTAGCAAAAATATCATCACACCAAACAAGTTGCCACTGCGTTCTTCAAAACTGGTATTAAACTGTGTGCGAACGGAATGAACGTAGCTGCAACTTTCTAAGGTCTATTTACGAACTTTATGAACGTTCTCAGACGGGAATGTGATTTTAGAATTTTGAATCGATTCAAAATTCGATTGCGACCATACCGTTCTGTTATCAGGTCATGATGACCTTCTAGACTAAGGGACGCGTTCTACGGCGTTGCACACCGACGTGGTGCGACCTGAACGAACTGCGAACGAGATGGACGTATTGAAGACTGTTTAAGAACGAAGAAGCTAATTATTTCAGACATATTTCCCGACCACAGCCAGTTTGAGCCCGTTTTACGACGTTTTCGTAGGACTGGCAAGAACGGGTAAGAACGAGTTTGGTGTGATAGGGGGGTTAGGGCGGTTTTATCGCAATTTATAATAGGCTAATGTTATGTGAATAAAAAATTCCGCTCATGTTTAAGCCCAACCAATAGTGTTTGTTAATGTGTATAGAATCTGTCCAAAAAGGATGACGACAATCAAAGACAATAGAGGAGGGAAAGTATCGCAACAGATTTCGGACAGTCATATGTTGGGTTTGGGTTATTTCTGAGGATTTAAACAGGTGCACATGTCAGGCCAATGCCTTACCTCCAGGAAAAGCACTCTTATCATTGTGACTTTTCTTTGGTTACAGACAATCAAAAGACACATGTCCTGACATCAAACAGTCAGCAGACATCTTTTTCATCTTATAGTCCTTCTTTTCCACACATTTTACTCGACCTGCTTATCTTTCATCATCTTCTTTACAACTTCCTATAAACTCCCCGAGCCTCTTCTGTGGCCTGGCCTCGAGATTTGGCTCTGGCCGATGCACAGTGTAGGTTCGAACATCATCGTCAGTTATGGCATTCTCAAAACTACTTGTTATTTCAGCTATTGAGCTCTGCTTCATAAATAGGGATTTATTCAATTTTTTGTAGGTCTCAGTGGGAGCGGAAAAACAGAAATCGCCAAACGGTACTGGGCAGAAAACAAACAGAAGTTTGAGGTTGGATGGACTGTCCATAGTAGAACTGAACATGACTTGTACAATGGACTGAAACTGTTTCAAAGATTTCGCCCAGTAGATTCACAATTATCTGTCATGCTTGGTGAAATGAATGAGGAAATGAAACAAGACATCAAAAAGGAATATTTCATTATATTTGATGACGTTACAAAGGAAACACAGTTCATTATTCAGCAAAACTTCCCATCAGCTAATAACATCAAGGTCATCATTACAACCGAGTTGCGTCTCTATAACTTTAAGTCATCAGACATTCTAGAAGTAGGTGGGTTTACGAAAAAGGAGATGTCTGAATTCCTTGATGATTTAAATGAGACTTCCTCTCAAAAGGTAAAGCTTTGGACAGAGATGGGCCACCTGCCATGCGCATTGGCGTGTGCAGTGTATGACATCAAAAAGCAAAAAACAACCATTGAAAAATACCTGGAGGAGGTGAACAATGTTGATACTAATCCCTTTGTAGAAGAGAGAACGCAGAAAGCACTGGGTCCCGACTATAAAAGTAGGGGATTCGTGAAGGCCCACATCATGAGTGTGAGGAATATGATGGATGAATTGCGTCTGCAAAACAAGGAAGGACCCTTTAAAAAGGAAGACGTCAATGGTTTATGCTTGGTGCTCAAGGCCATTGCTTACATGGACTCAAAAGCAATTCCGGTTTTCCTACTAGAAATCCTTCTTCTGATAATAATCAACCCACGGAAAGAAACCAGGATTCCGTCTTGCATTAACCAACTGATTGACAAAATGTCAAACAGGTGTTGGATCGGTGTCTTTTGCGAAGAGAAAGACAAGCCTCGTCTTCTAGACATCCATGAGCTCGTTCAACTAGCAGCGCGATCTATGAAGGACAATGACGACGATTCGCGACTCAAGCCACTCGAAAACCTGTTAAAGGCACTCCTGTGCTATTTTACAAAAGATACAGGCTTTATGAAGTTCCACAAAAAGAATTTGCTATTGCTTCCCCACGTAGAAAAAGCAATTGATCGAGTGAATGATTTAAGGGTCGAAAGTGAACTTGAAAATCCAGTACTGGAACAGATATCCCTTACGTTCTTAGAAATAGACCTACTGGATCGACTAGGTCATGCATATTCGAAAACTGGGCAATTAGAGCTGGCTGAAGAACGATTAAGCAGAGCGGTTGATTTATTTGTGACAATCCTTGAGACTACAAAGGATGATCTACTAGATACACGCGAGGCATTACCCCTGGATTCATATGCTGCGATGGTCTATGACAAACTTAAATACTTTAACATCGCCAGCCCTGTTATTGGCACTGTGTTGAATGATACAGACATAGAGCAGATGAAACTAGAAGTTGGAGAACGTGAATTTCCTAATCTTGGATCACACAACCAAGTGACCAAAGATGCATACAAGAAGCTCGTTAGCTTGAACTTAGCTATACCAGAAGAACAATTCAAACAAATATATGTTACCGAGTTAATGTCCTCAACACTCTATGCTTACGGCAGACTGTACTATTACCACAGAGAAAAGTTCCATCAAGAGAAAAATCGTCAACAAGCAAGATGTCTAATTGCCGCTTTGAGACTTGCTCATGCATTGGGGAAAGCAATTGCTAAAGGCACAGACATCAATGTACTTCATACCGTACTAACACAACGAAGTGGTCTCCTTTATCTACACTCTGAATACCTGGATGAAGGCGGGGAAGAGAAAACTCCTCAAGTAGCCCTTGGTCATCTTTATGATGGTAAGAAAGAGTACGAACGACTGTTGGAGGAAACGTCCAACAAACGTTGGTTTCAGCGTGGCATATTGAAATTGATGCAAAACGACCCTCATCACGGTAGCATATGTCGGGAAAAGTTATTGTTCATATGCAAGAGAATTTTGGACATTGAAACAAATTCGTCAAAACGCAGTGAGGTTGAGAAAGATGGAATTATGTGTTTGGGAGCGCTGAAGAGAAACATTAAGAACCAAGAACACGGAGAGCTGAAATTACAGCGAGGGGGCGATTATCTTCTTATTTGTGCCGAGTTCAATGTGGCGATCAAAGAGTGGCAATCTGCCATTAATGATTTCACAGAAGCAGTAAGTAGGTATAAGGTAAGCTTGTTTTAATGTACTGGTTTAGCCTTAGTTAGACCGACGAAAAAAGTGCCTTGTAGATCACATACTGTAAGAACCATTGCTACCTTTGTTATGCTTGTATCGTTTAGAAAAGCCAATGTACTATCAGACTATCATGCTTGTTTCTTTGGATGATTGATCGAGGCCGTTTGATAACAGATTAGCTACATCAACTATATGCCATTGTCGCGACAGCAACTTTCAAATTTGGCGTCAGAATAACTTAGACACATGGCACGTCAAAACTGTCATGCTCATATGACTTAAAAGCCGGCAAAACATTATGGATAAATATCACCAGCTTTGTAGTTGAAATATCAAAAGAGTTGTTCAATGTGCTAAGTACAAGCTTATAAGAGATTCTGACTGCCGTTTTATTACATCTTATGTATGCATAACTATTACATCTCTTTCAATAAAGACTTGTACGTCTATTTTACAGGAAGCGTTGACCATCCCATGGAAGAAATATGCTAGGGCAATATCAGGCATGATGAAAACTGCTCACGATTGGCTGAAAGTTAATCCTGGTGATCCTGTTGCCAGTGGAAATTTCGATTATGCAAGACAAGAGGTGAGAGTGTTCGTGGAAAAGGCTCCCCAACCATTCAAGGATACAATCAAGAAACGTTTTTGCACTGTACCAGGGGCACTTAAGCTCCAAAGGTCACAATCCGCCCCTGTCTCCAGTTTAGAAAAAGAACCCCCAACTCCACCAGGTCTTTACATGTAGATCCATGAGGGAGTTAGGCTAAGGGTACAGACATTTTTCTGCGATGGAGACGATTGTAGTAAAATGTGCTTTTTTGATATCGATGACTTCGTTTCATTCAACTATAAATATATTGAATTTAGTCACATGGACTGCTTTTTACCCTCAATAAGTAATATATATTGAACATGATTTTCTTTATATGGAAAATACTTGCGTACTTGCAAAGAGGAATTTTGCATCTTGACTGGAGCTGAAGTAGTCTCGTTACCAAGCCTGCGTGGCCCATCTTGTAGTTGAGTAAAAAGTACTTTTTATAGATTCAATTCGTTGATTGACATGCTATAGGTTTATTTCCTAATGATCGATTATATTCTAAAACGTTCCTTTTACTGTGTGTGTTTCTTAGTACCTTTGGGTTTCCGAGCACTTTCAATTCAAGTCAATGTTTAAAGTTCCCATTTAGTATTCTACAGAAAATGTAATACTATATCTATTAGACTATAAAATCTACAATACGATAGTCCCCATATCTAATTTGCATGTTCATAAAGTTCTCGCAAAAGTCCTCTAACATTTTTGTATCTCAGTCAATCTGGCTGAAATTTTCACTCAGTATACCTACTAGGTAGTAAGCTAGCTCCCAAAAATGTTTTAGTTCGTGAACAAATTGAAATTACTTATTTCTTATGTATTTTTATGTGATACTTCAGAAAAATTTTGTCTGACGCGCCGTATCCGGGGCGAAAGTTGTCAAATTGTGGTTTTCAACCCTAAAATGGAAAATTACAGGGGGTACTTTATCATCATTGAATAAATCATTCAGTTGGTCTTCATTCATCATAATAATTTTATGGGGCGTTGATTGGATCATGTTGAGGTAGTATTTTAAGTTTCAATTGTCTGTCACACATGGTTGCCATGGAAACCACAATTTTCGTTGAAAAATCCTTAACTTTGGCAAAACCTGTACATGTACATAATATAGAATGTGGATTATTTTTCAAATTAACAGATATTTTAGCAAACCCAAAATGGCCAGGGAAGTTCAAGCATTTGGTTAAGCATAAAGGATATTACAATTTATATAATTGGTAAGTGTCAAAGACCATACTACTACATAAGTGATCAAAAGTGGGCGTCGCCCCCATAATAGTAAATGATTACCATTCTCCAAAAATACAGAGTTTAGCTTGACTTTTGAGATACATTTATATTGAAGTTCTTTGAATATATTTAATATCATGCAGTCCTGGTAAATAATGTACATCTAAGTGTAAAAGTTATTGCATGGGGAGCGGGCGGGGGGGGGGGATTTGGAGGGGGCAGAGCTAATCAGCCTTAAGTATATCTCATTAATATAGTTCTGGATTTTCATAGGTTATATCTTCTGGGTCTTCTTCATTTTCATTTCAATATATAGGTACTACATTTTACATGATTGGTGTAAAAGACCATACAATTACATAAGTGATCAAAAGTGGCCGTTGCCCCCATAATAGTAAAAAATAAATGATGACCATTCTCTATAAATACAGGGTTTAAGTAAACTTTTTGTTAGAAAGGGCTGATGTGAAAAAGACACTCCACACCCACAACCTCCCGATTACATGTCAGGTGCTCTATACCACTTGAGCTATGGAGCCGACTGACTCTTTCAGTGAGTTTTATAGTTTTTGCATGAGAGGCAGGTTGGGAGAGGGGGCTAGTAATAGAAACTGGAAGGGGGCAGAGCTAATCAGCTTGATGTATAAATTTCATAATACTTCGTTCTGGATTTACTAAGGAACATGTACATCTTCTAGGTCTTCTTCATATTCATCTCAATATATAGGATATTACAATAAACATGATAGGTAAGTGTCCAAGACCAAACAATTACATAAGTGATCAAAAGTCGCCCCAACAACATTATATGGTTCATTCTCTACAAACAGAGTTCAACTTGAGTTTTAAAATCATCCAGTGATCTCCCCAGGATTTTTTCTCAGGTGGGTACAAAATTTTCATTTTCACAATTCAGACCTAAATTGGTCAAAATATGCCAATTTTTCATGATTTTCTCATTTTCAAGTGGGTGCATATGGATTTTCAGGTGGGTGCAAGCCTATTTTCAAAATCTCAGCTGGGTGCTGCGCCTTCTTGCTTTAATGCTGGGGAGATCACTGTCATCTATAAGTCTTAACTTCTATTATTTAAGAAATATAGACTGAAGAGCAGGTGTTATATCGACAAATACACTCCATATGGCTAGGCAAGGTAGTGAGGGGTTCGAAAGCTTTTGTACCTAGCCCTAAAGGGTCACTGTCAATCTCACGCCTGCTCTGAGGTCTATATTACAATTCAAACATGAAAACTCCCCAAAATACAGACTTGGGAGGAAGTAGAGCCAGTGTATGAGCTCTACTCCCTCCCAATTATTCTGTTACTACTCCCAATCTAGGGCCTGGCATAATTTATGCAGCCTTCCTAGCACTTATACCTTCGCTAGATGAAGTAAGTGCCATGCTTTGAAGGGGCAGGATAGCACATTTTAAAAAGATGGAGCACCATATGAGTCGCAGCTGAATGACTCTCAAATCTGCAAGTGTTTAGTGGTATTCTCTCTTAAGAGATTGTTGATATATCAATATCAGGCGATAAATCAAAAGAATGAAAATGATCAGACTATGAGAAGGCTCATCTATAGTTGTTATTGTATTGCCATCACTAGACATTCTGATACTCATAGTATCTTTCTGTTTCAGGGCTAGGAAGAAATAAAGTGTCATGGTTTATCATGATGATCATGAAAGGATATGGCATTTCCCACCTGCTACACAGTAGATTTTTCTTGGCATATTCTGGTCTTTATCATTCAATTAAGTGTAACTGGTAAAGTTGCTTCTTGTTTGCATCCTTATTTATGAACTCATTCCAATCTTTAGGGACTCATGTACTACATTTGATATTTTCTACATTTCTAGATTTGAGGTGCCACCACCCTCTTCTTCTCCTATCAGGTTACATATTTTCTGCCAGCTCCAGAAACAAAACAAGTCCATCAGAGAATCCATGAAATTCAGCATTTGCATCACATCACAGTGTATATAGAGATTATTTACCAGGAGGGATTCAATATGTTTTTTTTCTGAGGGACAGTATAATATTTCCTTAGGGCCTATATGGGCCCAGAGGGTAATATTGTCACAAGGAATAAACACAATTTCAATCCATCTCATACATATATGATTACCAAAATTATGTAGCGAGGCAATATTTTCCTCATCTCATGTGCATTTTAAAGATTACATATCTTTCATTTATAAGTCCTTCAATCAATGTGTTAGGATAAGCACAGAATACAGCAAAGTGTAGTGCTGGAGACACAAAAGAAGACTGATTAATATAAAAAAAAGCATTTATGTTAAGCCACAATGTCTTACACCAGCAAAACTACATAAACCAATTGAAATAGAAGTTTAGACCCCTAAAACAATCAAAGACTATGGAGGAACCAACATCAGTCTTCTTTCACCTTGTCAAGAGCTTACTACAAAGCACTTATCGTGCATATGGCCCATATCATAAACCTTGACATTCCAGCAGGAGACGGACACAGATGGAAACTGAATGACTCCACCATTGCATTGATTATCAACTGATATTCTCCTTCAAAAAATTGTTGATATAGCACCAGGAGATGAATCAGAAAGACTCCAGAAGATGTATCTTATATGAAATCCAGAACTCTGGAGATGAAATTGATACTTAATGCTGACTTGTTCCCCCACCCCTCCGAATTCTGTTACTACCCCCTCCCATACAATAACTATATACAGTATATTGAGATAACTAAGAAGACCCAGAAAATACTCTATGATGAAGTCCAAAAGATAGGATTTATACTTAAGGCTGATTAACTCTGCCCCCGCCCAATACTGTTACTAACCCCACCCCTCCTCATGCAATAACTATTGGACTGAGATGTACATTATTTACCAGAAATGCTTGATATAAAGTATAATCAAAGAAGTCCAATGTAAATGTATCTCAAGTCAATTTATAGAGAATAGCAATCATCTACTAGTATGGGACGATATCCACTTACTTGTGTAATTGTATGTTCTTTGACACTGACCAATCATGTAAGTTGTAATATCCCTTATATTGAGATGAATATGAAGAAGACCCAGAAGATGTACCCCATGAAATCCAGAAATATGTAGATGAGATTTATACTTAAAGGACAACTGAAATAGCTTTTCTCAACTTGCAGCTACAAAAATGCGGTTTTCTCCATTGTAAGCCCAATGTAGAGTTCTTGCGAACGTAGGTAGTCACAACGTCACGGCAACCATAGGATTGTTGTGTAAACAAATAACAAAACAGTTTGGCATTATGACGTCATGATCTAATGGACCAAAAAACGGGCCACGTGGGGACCAGTGAGAGATCTTGTGGGGGCCAATAACGTCACAACCAATTTGAATATTGCTTATTAAGCAGCTATAACGATCGTTAGAGTGAAATAATTTTCACACTACTGATGAGAAAACATGTCCAAATACATTTATCAAAAAATTATATTGATTCGTTTAGGTTAAAAATACCATTTCATATCTGCTTTAAGGCTGGTTAGCTCTGCCTCCTCCCAATTCTTTTACTAGCCCCCCCCCTCTGTACCCCCCCCCATGCAATAACTATAACACTTAGATGTACATTATTTACACTATATAAAATAGAGAATATTGCTTGGTTATAAGAAGTGTCTATTTGTAAGAATCTCTTGTAATCAGCAGTAATCAGCAAAAATACTCAGCACATATAAACAGAGACATTACAGAGACAATACTCGCTGCATATATGGAACACTCTGTATATTCAGGTATTGCTCCTCTTTATTTGTAGAACAGCGCATATAAGCACTGATTATATGTGAAGTTAAGAATACTCAAATATATGCAAACGCAATACTTTGTAAGTGTGCAATATAGTCACACATTATAATTGCTTCTTTCTGACTATATTAAGCTATTTCT